AGGAATAAGCATAGGAACACTCGGAGCACATGGTGTGCACCTGCATCACTTGGGCGAGAAGAAGAATTGAGCAGGAACCCTCGTTCAATTCGGGGTCGGGTGATACATTTCCTCATCCAATTTCTTTCAACACAATTCTGCCTGAATTTGTGTACAAAGAGCACACAAGGACTAAGCATAAGAACACCCGATGGCACATGGTGTGTGCCTGCACCACTTTCATTGTATTTCACAAAGTTTAAGCAGGAATCCTCGTTGGATTTGGGGTCGAGTGATTCAGGGATGCTATCTCACCTTTTTATTGAGCATTGCAATATTCTACCCGAAGTCATGTACAAAAAGCACACCAAGACACAGGTGTAGGAACACCCGATAGCACATGGTGTGCACCTGCACCACTTACGTTGTCTCCAAACACTAAGTTTAAGTAGGAAACCCTCATCCGATTCGGGGTCGGGTGTTGCACCCGATCACTTCCAAGCCTTTTCCTCAGCACTGATTTATTCCACTGTGATATCAGCCAGTATATCCAAGAAAGTCTAAGCAGAGGAACACCCGATAGCACATGGTGTGCACCTGCACCACTTACGTTGTATGTACAAGTTTGAGCAGGAGAGCCTCGTTCAATTCGGGGTTGGGTGATAGAATTGTCCCCGCTTTTTTTCTTCTTTGACATTGACTCGATTCTGCTTGAGGTAGGGCAATACAGCCAAGGAAAATCTAGGTGTGGGAACACCCAATAGCACATGGTGTGCACCTGCACCACTTATTTTCAAAAGTTGAGCAGGAAACCCGTTCGATTTGGGGTTGAGTGCTTCCAGGTTCTCAACTTTTTTTCTTTCTCAGCAGTGATTTATCCTGTCTTGAAGTGATGTATGGGAAGGGGGAGGATAAAGGGAGGGAACCCCTGATAGCACATGGTGTACACCTGCACCACTTAAGTTGTCTGTGATTCGCACATTTAAGCAGGAAGCCTCGTTCGATTCGGGGTCGGGTACTGCAGGGTTCTCTCGAGATTTTTTCTTCCTTACATTGATTTATTCTGCCTTAAGATGGGGCAGTATGGGGATGGAATAGGTGTAGGAACACCCGATAGCACATGGCATGCCCTGCACCACTTAGTTCATTCTCTAGGCACTTTGAGCAGGAAACCCCCGTTCGATTCGGGGTCGGGTGATAATAGTCGTCCTCTGCCTTTTTTTTCTTTCTTTTTCAACAGTAATTTGTTCCCTTGAGATTAGCCAGTATAGGGAGGGAATAATGGGCGCAGGAATACCCGATAGCACATGGTGTGCACCTGCATCACTTTGGTTGTTTTCAAACGTTGAGCAGGAGACCCGTTCGATTTGAGGTCGGGTGATACATCCCTCTTCCAAATTTTTTTAAACACAATTCTGCCGCAAAATCATGTATAAAAGCACACAAGAAATAGGTGTAGGAACACCCGATAGCACATGGCGTGCACCTGTACCCACTTACAAGAAATTTAGAAGTTGAGCAGGAGACCCCGTTCAATTCGGGATTGGGTGATAAAATTGCCCCACTTTCTTTTTTTTCAACATTGGTTTATCCTGTCTGGAAGTTGTGCATAAAAAGCACACAAGGGATATGTAGAGGGAACACCCGATAGCAGATGGTGTGCACTTGCTAGACCTAATTGAATTCGAATGGTACCAATGCAGGAGACCCGTTCGATTCGGGGTCGGGTGGTTCACACTCAACATTACCTTTTTATTGAACATCAGCCTGCCTGGAAGTGATGCATAAAAAGCACACAAGGAATAGGTGTAGGAACACCCAATAGCATATGGTGTGCACCTGCACCACTTTCATTGTTTTCAAAAGTGTTGAGCAGGAAGCCTCGTTCGATTCGGGGTCGGGTGGTGCGTTCTCTTGTTGAGTATTTTTTGTGAGTGTTGATTTATTCCACCTCCAGATTAGCCAGTACACACTGGTTGGGAGATTCAAGTTTTTCAGCGCAATTTACGGTGAAAAATGTCGTTTGTTTTTCAGACATTTTTCACTGAAAAAGTAGGTGAAAAACTCAAATCATTTTCACTATTTTTTGAGCTCAACGTGAAAAATTCAAAAGAAAGTCAAAAAGTGGTGAAAAATGTTTGAATTTTCCACCTACTTTTTCGGTGAAAAATGTGTGAAAAACAAACAACATTTTTCACCATAAATTGTGATGAAAAACTTGAATCCCTCAACCAGTGACAGCCAAGGAAAATCTAGGTAAGGGAACACCCAATAGCACATGGTATGCACCTGCACCACTCAAGTCATCTTCAAGTACTTTGGCAGGAGACCCTCGTTCGATTCGCTCAAAAAATAGTGAAAATAATTTGAGTTTTTCACCCACTTTTTCGGTGAAAAATGTCTGAAGAACAAACAACATTTTTCACCGTAAATTGTGCTGAAAAACTTGAATCTCCCAACCAGTGTGGGGGATAGCCAGTATATCCAGGGGAAATCTAGGTAAAGGAACACCCGATAGCACATGGTGTGCACCTGCACCACTTATTTGGTTAGAAATACCTTATTTGACTCGAGGTCGGGTGATACCACTCTACCCACCCAATTACTTTTTTTTCGGAACATTGAGTTATCCTGTCTTGAAGTCAAGTATGGGAGGGGGAGGGAACATCCGATAGCACATGGTGTGCGCCTGCACCACTTAGTTGGTCTTCATAAAGTCTCAGCAGGAAACCCTCATTTGATTCGGGGTCAGGTGGTTTGCGGTTGCTACATCAGCTTTTTATTGAGCATTGAGATATTCTGCCTCAGCCAGACATAAAGCGGACACAAGGAATAGGTATAACAGCACCCGATAGCACATGGTGTGCACCTGCATCACTTGGGCGAGAGAAAGAGTTGAGCAGGAAGGCTCGTTCGATTCGGGGTCGGGTGGTTCAACTTCACCGTAATTTCTTTTCTACTTTTACCATTGCAATATTCCGATGTTGTGCATAAAAAGCACACAATAACTAAGTGTAGGAGCATCCGATAGCACATGGTGTGCACCTGTACCACTTTATATATTTCTGCAGAGCACAGTTTCAGCAGGAGACCCGTTCGATTCGGGGTCGGGTGATAGTTCCTCGACATCTCCCTTCCTTTTTCTTCCTCAACATTGATTTATTCTGCTTCAGGCTTGAGAAGAATAGTCAAGGAAGAAATAGGTATACAAACACCCGATAGCACATGGCGTGCACCTGTACCCACTTGCAAGAAAGTTTACAAGTTGAGCAGGAGACCCCGTTCGATTCGGGGTCGGGTGATACCACTCCGCCCTGGAGGTTTTTTCTCTTGAAGCATTGCTCAATTCCGCCGCAAATCTGTACAAAGCACAGACAAAGGAATAGGTGTAGGGACACCCAATAGCACATGGTGTGCACCTGCCTCACTTGCGGTGTATTCAAAGAGTTTGAGCAGGAATCCTCGTTCGATTCGGGGTCGGGTGATATGTGTGCCCCCTCTTCCAATTTTCTTTGTTCAACATGAATCTGTTCCACCTCCAGATTAGCCAGTATAGCCAAGGAAAATCTAACAGAGGAACACCCAATAGCACATGCCGTGCACCTGCACCACCTTTGTCGTAATCGAAAATGTTTGAGCAGGACCCTCGTTCGATTCGGGGCTGGGTGATCACAGCTTTGTTCAACTCTTTTTTTCTTCCTCAACATGATTTTATCCTGCCCCAAGGTTGTGAATGAAGAGCACACAACACAGAGATGTAGGAACACCCGATGGCACATGGTGTGCACCTGCACCACTTATCTGGTTGGAAATGGTCTGAGCAGGGAAGCCTCGTTTGATTTGGGGCCGGGTGGTTGGTGTGCAGTAGGCTGCCCTTTTTTCAACATTGCTTTACCTTAACTTTAGGGAATAGTCAAGGAAAGAAGAGGTATAGAAACATCCGATAGCACATGGTGTGTACCTATACCACTTTGACCATGATCAATGTTTAAGCAGGAGACGCGTTCGATTCGGGGTCAGGTGGTGGTTCAAAACCTGATCAGCACTTTTTACAACTCACATTTTATTCTGCCTTAACGGTGTGTATGAAGACCATACAAGGAATTGGTGTAGGAACACCCGATAGCACATGGTGTGCACCTACACCACTTTCACGGTTGTCAACATTGTTTAAGCAGGAAACCCGTTCGATTCGGGGTCGGGTGATACATTTCCTCGTCCAATTTTTTTCAACACAATTTTGCCTCGAAGCCATGCATAAAAAGCACACAAGGAATAGATGGGCAACACCTGATAGCACATGGCGTGCCCCTGCACCCACTTACATGACAATTCACAAGTTTGAGTAGGAGACCCTCGTTCGATTCGAGGTCGGGTGATGACATCTTCGCTTTCGGTCTTTTTTCTTGAAGCATTGATTCATTCAGCCAAACTGTTGAATAAGGAGCGTACAAAGAATTGGTATGGAAACACCCGATAGCACATGGAGTGCACCTGTGCCACTTAGATTGTTGGAAGTAATTTAAGCAGGAGCCTCGTTCGATTCGGGGTCGGGTGCTGAGTCCATGCACTGCCTGTTTTTTCTTTTTCAACACAATTCTGCCGCAAAATCATGCATAAAAGCACCCAAGGACTAAGCATAGCAACACCTGATAGCACATGGTGTGCACTTGCACCACTTGCATGATGATCGAGAAAGAGTTGAGCAGGCGACCCGTTCGATTTGGGGTCGGGTGGTAGTTCCTGGACATCTCCCTTCCTTTTTCTTCCTCAACATTGATTTAATCTGCTTCAGGCTTGAGGAGAATAGTCAAGGAAGGAATAGATGGAGAACACCCGATGGCATGCGGTGTGCACCTGCACCACTTTCATTGTTGTCAACTTTGTTTGGGCCGGAGACCTCGTTCGATTTGGGGTCGGGTGATAATAATCGTCCTCTGCCTTTTTTTTCTTTTCTTTTTCAACAGTAATTTGTTCCCTCGAGATTAGCCAGTATAGGGAGGTAATAATGGGCGTAGGAATACCCGATGGCTCATGGTGTGCACCTGCACTACTTTGGTGAGAGCTTTTATAATAAGATTAAGCAGGAGACCCTCGTTCGATTCGGGGTCGGGTGATACGTGCTTCTTTCCCTTTTTTCTTACACAGTGGTTTATTCCAGTTCAAGATTAGCCAGTATAGTTGAGGAAGGAGGAGGTATAGGAACACCCGATAGCACATGGTGTGCACCTACACCACTTGAGTATTTCCTGTCAAGAGTTCAGCAGGAAGCCCGTTCGATTCAGGGTCGGGTACTGCAAGGTTCTCTCGAGATTTTTTCTTCCTTACGTTGATTTATTCTGCCTTAAGATGGGGCAGTATAGGGAGGGAATAATGGCCGTAGGAATACCTGAGAGCACATGGCGTGCACCTACACCACTTGAGTATTTCCTGTCAAGAGTTGAGCAGGAGAGACCCGTTCGATTCGGGGTCGGGTGATAGTTCCTCGACATCTCCCTTCCTTTTTCTTCCTCAATGTTGATTTATTCTGCTTCAGGCTTGAGGAGAATAGTCAAAGAAGAAATAGGTATAGGAATACCCGATAGCACATGGCGTGCACCTGCACCACTTGAGTATTTCCGGTCAAGAGTTCAGCAGGAGGCCCGTTCGATTCGGGGTCGGGTGTTGAACCCACAACATTCTCCCGGGATCTTTTTCTTTTTTCAACATTGAGTTATTTTCTTCTGTGATTAGCCTGGTAAGGAATAAGTATAGGGACACCTGATAGCACATGGCGTGCACCTGAACCACTTAAGTCGTCCATGATTGACACAGTTTAAGCCGGAAGCCCTCGTTCGATTCGGGGTCGGGTGGTTACATCTGCTTCATCAGAGCACTTTTTTGAACATTGATTTGTCCTGCCTCGAATGCTGTACAAAAGGACACAAGGAATAGGTGTAGGAACACCCAATAGCACATGGTGTGCACCTGTACCACTTTCATCGTCTTCAAATTTTGAGCAGGAAGCCTCGTTCGATTCGAGGTCGGGTGATCCGCTCTCCTCTTCCAATTTTTTTCAACAGTAATTTGTTCCCTCACAATTAGCCAGGATGATTGAGGAAGGAGGAGGTATAGGAACACCCGATAGCACATGGTGTGCGCCTGCACTACTTTGGTGAGAGCTTTTATAATAAGATTAAGCAGGAGACCGGTTCGATTCGGGGTCGGGTGATACGTGCTTCTTTCCCTTTTTTCTTACACAGTGGTTTATTCCAGTTCAAGATTAGCCCGTATAGTCAAGGAAGGAATAGGTAGAGGAACACCCGATGGCACATGATGTGCACCTGTACCCACTTACAAGAAATTTACAAGTTGAGCAGGAGAGCCTCGTTCAATTCGAGGTCGGGTGATAGTTCCTCGACATCTCCCTTCCTTTTTCTTTCTTTTTCAACAGTAATTTGTTCCCTCGAGATTAGCCGGTATAGGCAGAGAATAATGGGCACAGGAACACCCAATAGCACATGGTGTGCACCTGCACTACTTTGGTGAGAGCTTTTATAATAAGATTAAGCAGGAGACCTGTTTGATTCGGGGTCGGGTGGTTGGGATGATTCAGGGAGCTATCTCACCTTTTTATTGAGCATTGCAATATTCTACCCGAAGTTATGCAGAAGGAGCATACAAGGAATAGGTGTAGGGACACCCGATAGCACATGGTGTGCACCTGCCTCACTTGCAGTGTATTCAAAGAGTTTAAGCAGGAATCCTCGTTCGATTCGGGGTTGGGTGATAGTAATCGTCCCCTGCCTCTTTTTCAACAGTAATTTGTTCCCTCGAGATTAGCCAGTATAGCCAAGGAAAATCTAAGCAGAGGAACACCTGATAGCACATGGCGGGAAGCCCGTTCGATTCGGGGTCGGGTGATCACCTCTTCTTCCAATGACTTTTTCCTTGAATATTAATTTTATTCTGCCTCGAGCTCACCCAGTATAGCCAAGAAAGAGTCAGGTATAAAAACGCTCGATGGCACATGGTGTGCACCTGCCCCACTTGCGGTCTATTCAAAGAGTTTAAGCAGGAGGCCTGTTCGATTTGGGGTCGGGTGATACTACTCCGCCCTGGAGGTTTTTTTCTCTTGAAGCATTGCTCAATTTCGCCGCAAATCTGTACAAAGCACAGACAAAGGAATTGATATAGGGACACCTGATAGCACATGGTGTGCACCTGCAGCACTTACATTGTTCTCAAAATACTTTGGCAGGAGACCCTTGTTCGATTCGAGGTCGGTGATACCACTCTACCCACCCAATTACTTTTTTCCGGAACATTGATTCATTTTCCTGTCTCATACTCTGTACAAAGAGTAAGAATAGACTAAGTATAGGAACACCTGATAGCACATGGTGTGCACCTGCACCAGTTTAGTGACAGCTTTCCTAATAAGATTAAGCAGGAGACCCTCGTTCGATTTGGGGTCGGGTGATACCGCTGTGCTCATAACCTTTTTCTTTTTTTTTGAAACATTGATTCATTTTCCTGTCTCAAACTCTGTACAAAGAGTAAGAATAGAGTAAGTATAGGAACACCCGATGGCACATGATGTAAACCTGTACCATTTATTGTAAGGAAACTTGAAGGTTGAGCAGGGAAGCCTCGTTCGATTTGAGGTTGGGTGCTTCGACTTCCAGCGGAATTCTTTTCTTGCTCGACATTGATTTGTCCTGCCTAATGAGGGATGAATAGATATAGGAACACCCGGTAGCACATGGTGTGCACCTGCAGCACTTACATTGTTCTCAAAATACTTTGGCAGGAGGCCCTTGTTCGATTCGGGGTCAGGTGATTTACTTTCCGTGTCCAATTTTTTTCAACACAATTCTGCCGCCAAGTCATGCATAAAAAGCACATGAGACATTGGTAGGGAACACCCTATGGCACATGGTGTGCACCTGCACCACTTAAGTTATGATGCACGAAGTTTGAGCAGGAGACCCTCGTTCGATTCGGGGTCGGGTGATCACCTCTTCTTCCGATGACCTTTTCTTGAATATTAATTTTATTGTGCCTCGAGCTCACCTAGTATAGCCAAGAAAGAGTCAGGTATAAAAACACCCGATAGAACCTGGTGTGCACTTGCACCACTCTTGCTGTGTTCAAATGAGGCTGAGCAGGAAGCCCTCGTTGGATTCGGGGTCGGGTGATAACGAGTTTCATACTGAACTTTTTTTTTCCTCAACATGATTTTATCCTGCCCCAAGGTTGTGAATGAAGAGCACACAACACAGAGATGTAGGAACACCCGAGGGCACATGGTGTGCACCTGCCCCACTTGAGGCTGATGTAGAAAGATTGAGCAGGAAACCCGTTCAATTCGGGGTCGGGTGCTGCATCCTATCACTACTTTTTGCAACTCACATTTTATCCTGCCTTGAAGTCATGCCTAAAGAGCACACAAGTAGTGGGCGGGGAACCCCCGATAGCACATGGCGTGCACCTGCACCACTTCGTCGTTTTATCTTCCAAGAGTTTAAGCAGGAGACCCTCGTTCGATTCGGGGTCGGGTGGTTGGGATGATTCAGGGATGCTATCTCACCTTTTTATTGAGCATTGCAATATTCTACCCGAAGTTATGCAGAAAGCGCATACAAGGAATAGGTGTAGGAACACCCGATGGCACACGGCGTGCACCTGCACCACTTCAGTGAGAGCTTTCATAATAAGATTAAGCAAGAGACCCGTTCGATTCGGGGTCGGGTAATTCGCACACTACACACCTTTTTGTTGAACATTGATTTATTTTGCCTTGAGCATGGGGAATAGTAAAGGAAGGAGGATAAAGTGAGGAACACCCGATAGCACATGGTGTGCACCTGCACCACTTAAGTCATCTTCAAGTACTTTGGCAGGAGACCCTCGTTCGATTCGAGGTCCGGTGATAGTTCCTTGACATCTCCCTTCCTTTTTCTTCCTCAACATTGATTTATTCTGCTGCAGGCTTGAGGAGAATAGTCAAGGAAGGAATAGGTATACAAATACCCGATAGCACATAGTGTGCACCTGCACTACTTGTGTTGTATGTGAATATTTGAGCAGGAGACCCTCGTTCGATTCAACATTTCCTCTTTGCTTCCAATTTTTGTTCTTGAACATTGGTTTATCCTGTCTGGAAGTTCTGCATAAAAGGGGAGAACGGGAAGGGAGGGAACACCCGATAGCACATGGTGTGCACCTGCACCACTTATGTTGTATGTACAAGTTTGAGCAGGAGAGCCTCGTTCGATTCGGGGTCGGGTGCTTCAGTTCTTCTTCGAAATCTTTTTTCAACATTGAGTTATTCCACCTCAAGATTAGCCAGTATGGTAAGGAAAGGAGCAGATACAGGAACACCCGACGGCACATGGTGTGCACCTGCCTCACTTGCGGTGTATTCAAAGAGTTTAAGCAGGAATCCTCGTTCGACTGGGGGTCGCGTGCTTTAACTCTCCTGCTTGTTTTGTTTTCTTGACCAGTGAATTTATTCCGCCTTGAAATCGTCTATAAAAGAGGAGAAGGAAGTGGTGGGGAACACCTGATGGCGGATGGTGTGCACCTGCACCACTTAGGTCATCCTCTAGACAATTTGAGCAGGAGACCCGTTCGATTCGGGGTCGGGTGATAATGTCGCAATATGCTATGCTGACCCTTTTTCTTGCACATTGAGATGCTGTCTTGAAGTCATGGATAAGAAGCACACAAGGAATAGATGGGCAACACCCGACAGCACATGGTGTGCACCTGCACCACTTACATTGTCTCCAAACATTCTGAGCAGGAAACCCTCGTTTGATTCGGGGTCGGGTGGTTCGCCTTCCCCTGTTTTTTACAACTCAACCTTAATTTTATTGTGGCTCAAATAAAGAGAACACCATAAACCGGTATAGGAACACCCGATAAAACATGGTGTGCACCTGTACCACTTTCATCATTTTCAAATGTTGAGCAGGAGACCCGTTCGATTCGGGGTCGGGTGCTGCGCCCATGCACTTCCACCTTTTCTTTTCAACATTGAGTTATTATGCCCCGATATTAGCCAGTATAGCGAAGGGAAATGCAGGTAGAGCAACACCCGATAGCACAGGGTGTGCATTTGCATGACTTGAGATATACGGAAGAAGATAAACCCGTTCGATTCGGGCTCGGGTGATAATCCCTCGACAACTCCCTTCTTTTTTCTTCCTCGGCATTGCTTTGTCCTGCCTCAAAGTCATTCATGAGAAGCACACAAGGAATTGGTATAAGAACACCTGATAGCACATGGTGGGCACCTGCGCCACCTGCATCGGTGTGAAAATTCTGAGCAGGAAACCCGTTTGATCCGGGTCAGGTGATTCAACTGCCCACAATGCACATCACCTTTTTAGTGAGCATTGATCTTATTCTGTCTCTAGATCAGCCAGTATAGCCAAGGAAAATCTAGGAATAGGAACACCCGATAGCACATGGTGTGTGCCTGCCTCACTTATGTGTTTGCAGAAGGGTTGAGCAGGAGACCCGTTGAAACGGCAATGCGCGCTTGACGGCGGACTTGGCTAAACTGTGCAATGGAGATGGACGCTAGCTGGAAAATAACACCCCACTAACCAAACACACAACCCAACCAAACCCCCCTTTTATACTCCCAAAGACTAGCGCAAACTCCTTGGTCGAGTTCGGGTCCGGGCCGTAGTATGCGACCACTGGTTTAGAACAGCAACAGGAACTGAATCCGACTTTATTGACCAACACTCTTCTATACAACACAACTCTCATGGCAATGCTTCCTCAAACTCAACGACCCTAGGCTTGTGATGTACATAGCAAAGGATTGTTACTAGGAATTGCACCGAAGTACAGGTGCCTAGGCGAGGAGGTGTAGCTTTGGACTGAAAATCCCGTTTAAGGGCCATGCTGCTTCGTCTAGACGACCTCTATTGCACTGCTAGCCTCTCGAGAACTAGCAGCAGACTCAGACTCTCTTGAATCCAAGCTCTTTTCCGTGCACTTGGGCTTATTAAGGACCTCAAAGTACTATCCAACACGACTAGACGACCGGTGGTTGTCCCAGGGTTCTCCCAAAGTGCTGTGCCCGGCGTGGTCGGTTTTAGCGAGGTGTTTCCTAGTCACCCAATGCGGATGCCCTGCTAGAGTCCACTCGCGACGACAGTCGCAGTTCTCAAGCCTTCTTTGTGCGTACGGTCCTGATTTATACGTGGAGGCAGTTGCCGCCTCACAACCTCCCAACGCGATGCTTTGCTTATAGGTTCACACAATGTTCCAACAAACAATGCTTCGATTGTATAGACTTCCTTACACACAGATAGAGAATGTACTTTATCCCTGCTTAGTGGCCTGAGCACACCCTTACCGCCGTAGCAGTGAGCGGGGCATGAGCTGGCTTTTAGCAGTAACTACTGGGTCCTTATATACTATTCTGGAGTCCATAATGTAATACCTATCTAATAAGCATGCCGGGGTGATTCCTCATCCAAATGTCAAACGATATGACTGATTTGTGCCATTTATCCTCGCCGTCGGTCTAATTCCGGGTCATAGGCCTTGGCTATAAATATCCCGGAGCCTAAAGCCCATAACTCTGAAATACTCCGGAGCCATTGCCCCTTAGCTCCGAACTGACTCATGCTTGCTCATATGTCGAAGTGTTCAGTTCGACTTCCTCAACATACTATCATTGCCAACCCAGGAAGTTGATCAGAGTTCGTCTAGACAGCATTTCCTGTGGTCTAGACAAGCCAAGCTTTGTGGCCCAACCATGCTAGTCCGTCTAGACGACTTCAATGACCATTCCCTGAGCTATATATCCCTCTGTGACCTTACTAGCACAGTTACTTGAGTGCTAGTATCATTGTACATGTTTCTACTTCGAATTCAAGTACTTGGACTCGCTCTGAATGATACCTGAGGCCCAAGGCACTCAAAGGTAATAGCTTCAATGTCAATTGTGGTTGCTAGCTCGATAACGAGCCATCTAGACGCATAGTTCTGCCGTCTAGACGCTTAGTCCTGCTGTCTAGACACATAGTTCTGCCGTCTAGACGCTTAGACCTGCCGTCTAGACACATAGTTCTGCTGTCTAGACGAGCTGGTTAGCCCTCTGTTAAGTCCCATTCGACGTGGTCTGTGCAGTCATTGGTTCTCCTGGTCGGATTATGATCCCCATTGAATGTCTAGGCTTTTGTACATCTCCTTGATAGTGTACCTGTCCAGTGTAACACTTGTAACCGTGTCTAGCACTGTGCAGAATACTACAGCCAGCAGGTGGAGCTCACTCTGGCTCTCCTTGATATCACTGAACAGGGTACTAGTGCACTACTCAATAATGCAACTAGAAGCTAGTCTATGGCCTGAGTCCCCTAGCACCAACTAGTGCTCATTAAGCTTAAAATAGCCTGACTGCGACACAATTGGTGTTGCGCCGTCTCACCGTTCGATTCGGGGTCGGGTGGT